TTGTTATCAGAGGAACTACACATTTGTATACATTTACATTGTTACATATTTAGTTGTTGTTATCAGAGGAACTACACATTTGTATACATTTACATTGTTACATATTTAGTTGTTGTTATCAGAGGAACTACACATTTGTATACATTTACATTGTTACATATTTAGTTGTTGTTATCAGAGGAACTACACATTTGTATACATTTTACATTGTTACATATTTATTGTTGTTATCAGAGGAACTACACATTTGTATACATTTACATTGTTACATATTTAGTTGTTGTTATCAGAGGAACTACACATTTGTATACATTTACATAGTTACATATTTCAGTCTTCTTTAGTGTTGTTTTTCATAACAATGACTATGCTTTATAGTTATTTACCTTCTTGGGTACAGTCAAGTATCGGATAAACTAGAACATACAATTACAAAAATTTTCTATCATTTAAACATTTGTTTAATTGTAATTACACTTATGTAGATTAATTCGCATTCTTATCTTATTGTACGGATTTATAATTAATCTTAATGTATTAAACTGGCCAAACTTTTATTATTGGTATTAGGGTCGAAATTATCGCCACCAGCGAATGTACCCATTAGCTGAACCAGTGCTATCTATTCGTAGTAGAGTTTAGTTTTGTAGTATACTAATTTCTCAAACAAAGTCTTTCCATGGATGCCTTTATATGTTATTCTTAGCTATTTTAGTTTCAATCGAAATGCATTTAGTTAGTTTACGTTTCATCAATTGTTCTTAATATATATTATAATTCCATAATAACCAGTATAAAACGTATACAAGTCTAACAGTATTACCTCAAATATATTATTATATGTTATATATAATATAGTATTACCTCAAATATATTCAGATTCATCAAAGAAACAAAAGAAAAGTACTTACATTTTTATTATAGCTGCAAACAAGTAACTGTAGTTTTTAAGTTTGTGAGTATAGCAGAAAATATATATAAGTTTATACACACAAACTGTAATACCAGGAAAGAACTATGTCATAAATCGAAATGCATTACATATGCAGAAAATATTATACACACACACACACATACAAAATAGAGACACTATGTCAGATTTTACAATTATGAACATATTCAAAAGAGACACTATGTCAGACTTTACACAATATAATTATGGACATATTCAAAAGGGACACTATGTCAGACTTTACACAATATAATTATGGGCACATTCAAAAGGGACACTATGTCAGACTTTACACAATATAATTATGAACATATTCAAAAGGGACACTATGTCAGACTTTACACAATATAATTATGGACATATTCAAAAGGGACACTATGTCAGACTTTACACAATATAATTATGGACATATTCAAAAGGGACACTATGTCAGACTTTACACAATATAATTATGGACATATTCAAAAGGGACTATTTCTTCTACTGCACTACTTCCATCGCAGTTTACATTGTAATAAGTTCTCCGACGAACAATGAACTCAATTTTAAATAATTTATCTTGACAATTTTTTCTACAAATCTTCTAGCTTGCATAGATGTGCATATTAGTATTTATATACAAATAAAACGTTTAGTCACAAATATTATTTATCAATTAACTATAATCACAGAAAATCACAATGGAATTTTGAATATAGATCGGCAATGAGTTACGCTTTAAATTTTTTACTGAATATGATTTATTTAAACTATAAATTACGCATGGGATCCAAAAGAAGTAACAATAAAGATATAATGACTAGAATAAGAATTAATGATTGGTTGTCTAATATCAGAGACAAATAGACTTCTTTCCCTACAACAAATGAAGTCCGATATTTGAAGAAAACAAAACAATACTTAACGCAAAAGATTATATACTGTTTTACAATGTCTTAGGAATATAAAACTTAAATACCTTATACATTCACTTAAAAACACTGGCATAATAGTCATCCCGAGTCCAGCGCCACAGAAGATGGCAATTTCTACCAGTTCTCGTTTCCGTTTGAAGTACTGGCCAATTATAAGGGTTGCTGCATCACGGATCATGCAGACACCACAACCCACAAACAGTCCGTAGCTAACAAACAACTGGTGAAACTGAGAGGCAAATGAAGTAAAAAGACACCCAAGAGCTGTGATAAGTCCACCCAGGACGGCTAGTAATCTTGTACTTCTCCGCCTGCAAATGGCCATTATTACAGGTGAGAGAAAGAGGGCAATGCATGTTGAGAATGTTCCCAAACAAACTGTGAAACAAAAGAAAGTATCAGTTAAACCTATTGTACTACAAAACATATGAATTCAAATGTTTGATTATCTTATATTTCCACAAACCCTTAACAACAAAGGTTGAATAAGTTATATTAAAACAAATTTGGAGCCTAACACGTCGCAAGTGTCCATGTACCACGTCCATTCGTACTCTATCTGACGACCGTGCATCTTGTCAATAATCTTACAGTATAGTCTCCGTTGCAAAATACCGCTTGCTATCAGTAATCTATCTAGCGGAGAAAGACCATTTCCCAACAACTGTTTCAACAGTTCGATCGCATATCGATTCATAGGTGCTGCATCTGGCGACTTGACCAGAATATATTCTTATGGAATAGGATGAATACCCGTTTCATTCTCCAGCTGCTTGAAGTATATCACGGTTTAACAAACATGAAGTGGAAGCAACTTTTGAATACATCACTTGTGACGCTTTTCCAGACAGAGATAATTTTCTATTATGTCGTATACTGTTTCTTGGGGAACATGGGCGGCTTAGGCCACTGAAGTTTGTGTTCACTGATTATTTTTCTGGATAATTCTAGTTCCCCAAGTTGATCCATACGCCATTTTTCTCCAGTGACATTAAGTTCAAGGAATATACTCGTCATGGAAAATTTAATATTTTATCTAAACACTTTTCATGATATAAATGAATGAATATTTTGCGTCAGAAAGGGCTGCTACATACCTTCCCAAAAGCGATCAATTTTCAGTCGTATCATACTTCCTACGAAGCGAAAAACAATGTCAAAATGTACTTCTGGTAAATTCCATTCCAACACGACTTTATATCGGTTGTGTGTTTCATGTGATTTGCTAATTTGCCAATTCAAAATCATTTTAATATAACCAACTCAACCCTCTATAAAATATTTAATCATTGAGTTTATATGAAAGTATCGAAACTTTCATATTTATTTCATGTGGAAGTTTCGAATGTAAATGCATAATACACTTCTACTGCTCCTATGAAATAGCATTGTTAAATGCTAAGACATAAAGATGTTAAAGGTTAGTTATAGAAACAGATACTGGAATACCTGCTCTGCAAGTAAATTATTATCAAGCTAAATTTAACAGTTGGTGTTAAGAATCACTTCAAAAATCTTAATATACTAAGGATTAACCACACTTTATATGAACGATGTTCCCTTTTTCTTATGACCTTGAAACTACTTCTTCAATTCACTAATTCTACCGCAAATTACAGTGTAACAATTTCAAATCATTCATCTTGACAAAGACCCTCTAACTTACACAGATGTCAGCTTCCAACACCATATTTAAGCAGATCAAACGCAATAAAGTCCATTGGAGCTGCGATATGAGATTTGATAGTTATATGGTCGAATCAGATTACTGATGTCCCAGTTTCTTCAAGTGTTTTACTAATGAAAATGCCGCTGATTTCAAAGTGTGGCTGGAAGTTTGTGACATCTTAGCTCGTGAGCCTTCGTCAACATAAAATTCTTATTGATTATCTCGTTAACGATACCAAGAAATATTCTTAGCTTCGTTGCAGTGGATTTGTGGATAGAAGGGTTCTCTTTCTTAACCATAACCTTTACTTTGTGGAAGATGGTGCTGCTTTCATTTGATTTGGGAAGTGGCTTTAGAGCGTGCTTGTATTGCTAGTTATTTCGGTTCTACTTGAAGATTAAAAGTTCCATTATTCGGAATATCGTGACCCATTGCTTTACCCAGTTTAAAATCTCGCTATACAAATGCCCTTTATGAAAACGTCATAATTCTTAGGCTGTATACCGTATCTTCTATGGCAATATTACATTGTTATTTTGTTGTTAATTTGCTGTGAAAGAAATGTAAAGATGCTAAAGATGATGGTTGAGGCGATTGACTCGCAATCTGAGAGTCGCGAGCTCGAATCCCATCACCGAATATAAATATGCTCGCCCTTTTGGCAGTGAGAGCTTTATAATGTGACGCTCAATCCCACTGTTCCATTATAGTAGTCCCAAATCATTCTTACAAAGCACAATTAGCGCATCCTATGCATTTAAGAAAGAAATGTAAGATATTAGTTGTTTCAACGTGGTTTTAAAATAAGATTAATCTCAAAACTGGCATTTAAATGACAAATTAAGAATTTCACAAAGAAATGTATTTGAATTTCCAAACTAAGTTTAACAACATTTTCAGTGAAAGCTCAACGTGCCCTAATACATTCAAAGATGCTCAGAAAAAATACTTTTGAAAGGCAAACTAATTAATAATTAATATATTTGATAAAGTGTAATCTGTTTGTTTGTTGCTAAGCGCAAAGCTACACAACATGCTATCCGTGCTGTGCCCACCACGAATATCGAAACCCTTTTTATTAGCGTTATGGAAAATAGAAAATGACAAAGTAAAAAAATATACTTGCACGTTTTTAAAAATAAATGTAATTTAATATCTCTCAATAGGTTTTAATAATAAACTTGCTTTGAGAATTTCATCGCTAAAGTATCGATTAAAATTTGTTACATTCATTAGTTAGTCTTTTCATTTTAACTAGTCATCTTACAAGCAGTGCAGGGCTTCTTATTTTCAACGTTAGACCTCTTAATGAGATATCAATTTTTCTTTCATGGTAGTAGACATTTCAGTGCGATAAAAGTATTATTTTCTTGGTACGTAGGTTTCTTCCTTCCTGGTTATTTAGACTTCTTAAAGGGATATAAGTTTTTGGAAACTCGATCACTAGTTATCTTAGTGTGATATATCTTCTTTTCCATTTCATTAAGGCCTGGATTCTTGGTACGTAGGTTTCTTCCTTCCTGGTTATTTAAACTTCTTAAAGGGATACAAGTTTTTGGAAACTCGATCACTAGTTATCTTAGTGTGATATATCTTCTTTTCCATTTCATTAAGGCCTGGATTCTTGGTACGTAGGTTTCTTCCTTCCTGGTTATTTAAACTTCTTAAAGGGATATAAGTTTTTGGAAACTCGATCACTAGTTATCTTAGTGTGATATATCTTCTTTTCCATTTCATTAAGGCCTGGAATGGCTTGATGGTTGAGGCGATCGACTCGCAATCTGATATTCGCGAGCTCGAATCCATCACCGAATATGCTCGCCCTTTCGGCCGTGGGAGCTTTATAATGTGACGCTCAATCCCACTATTCCATTATAGTAGTCCCAAAGTTGAAAGTGAGTGGTTCTGATTAGCTTCCTTTCACTTTTAAGTTTAGGATGGCTAGCTCAAAGTAGCTTTGCGCGAAATTCAACAAAACAAGCCCTTTCATTGGTTCTTAGTGAAAATAAACGTATTCGCTAACCTTCTTAGTGAATTACAAGTCTTCTAACAATAGTAACTAAGTCTAAAATTCTTCCTTTTCTTTTAACTAAACCTCTTAATAGGAAAATAAGCCTTTTCTTGGTAACTTGACCTATTATGATGAAAAATATTCTTCCTATCTTGCTCAGAATCGCTTGATGGGACTTATTTGTTAAGTCATTAATAATATAACACAGTCCTGCGAATTTAAACTTCATAAAAATTGTTTTGGTTTTAATAACGGATTTTCCATTATTCAGCAACGCATATTTCGAAAATAATATTTTTTTCCTTATCAAATAAGGATTTTTTTTAGAAATCGGGAATTAAAAAACTCGTATTTAGATCAAATATTTATTTCGTTTACCACAATGAACATTTTTATTATTATGTTCGTTAACAATAATACAAACAAACTAAAGAAAATGGAAAAACATTGATGTCAAACGAATATACAACCTTATTCATCCTGATTTTTTTTGTGTGAAATCTACATCTTTTAGTCTCAACTTTACCTGGTCTTTCTTTTATGTATTGAGTTATGATGTTTTGTAAAAAATCTGTAGGAGATGGAGAAAAATGGGTATCATTTTCAGATTCATCGTATAGAAATTACTGTAAAACATTTAAAAATTTCAAGACAATAAAACCATTGCAGGCTTGTGTAATTTGAATAACACATTATATTAAGTACAATATGAAATATTATCAAGTGCATTAGAATTATGTTATAGGTATTGTAAGTAACTCTACCAATACGTTGTACCAGTTGTTCCATTCATGTAATTATATATATATATGTATTCTATGTAATCGTATGAATAATTTATTTAGTTTATAAACAAACAAACCCGAAGTGTTTCTTTCACTTTCTTACATTATTGTATTTCATGATAAGTTTATAAATAAATATTTTAACATAAGTTACAATATAAAGAATGGTTTGTAAAGTTAATTTAGAAAATGATCCTGTAATAAGTCATTAAAAGTAATCTGATGTAATTAATTTCGTTAGTAAACGGTACATTTATTAAGTTAAACCAATTTTTCTCTATTGAGTTTTAAAACTTGATTTGAATAAGTAACAGGTGGAAAACAATACTTTATCAGTGCATTACAAGTTCGATGGATTAATGATAATGACATGACACCATGTCTTAGATTGTAAAAGCTACTAGATCTACTAGGGGGCAGAAATATAATAAACTTTATAACAATGATTTTGTCTTGCTGGAACTAGAACATTACAAACTCCAACTATTTTTCAATTATATTGTACGGTGAATTTCGATTTTAATGATTAAGTTTCTTGTTTAACAAATGTGGGCAACAATCCCATTCTATATAGGACGAAAGCTTCCAGTAAATTGTTGCCTGCAATAGATATCACAAACCTAAAATTTGATAATAATGAGGCAAAAATCGTGTTTAAACAACCACTCATTTATGGATTCAGCCTAGTCTTCCAGGTCTGTCTACCAATACTACAATCTTTACAAATATATGTAAATATATTATCAGATTATCATGAAAATACAGTTTATGAGACAAAAATATGACTTCTCATAAAACTTACATTTCCCTCATTGCTTGTAAAATGTTCAGGTGAACAAATAAATTGATAATTTCATTATATCAACCAGTTACTTTGTTTATATGAAAAGCGCACTTATATAACTATATAATT